GGGGGGGGGGGGGGGCAACCGTGAAACAATCGAGCACTTGCTCTTCCTCCTCCCCTCCTCCCCGCGTGCCTGCGTTGATTTTCCACATCGCCCATGTCCGGATGGCAATAGGCCAACACTCGCCACGTACGGTTGCGGTTATCTCTCTCCCCGCCCCCATCCCATCTACAAGCGACACGTGGGCGAAACAATCGCATGCTAGTCGACAAAGAAAACAGCACAGCGCAAGGGCAGCAGCAGAAGCCCCGGCGGGAGCAGAACTCAAAACAACATGGAAAATCGCGCCACATATTACTATATTTTTTTCGACGCCGGGGGATGAGCGACGATTTTCTGTTTTCTCGATCGTGGACAAAATGCACCAAACGGACACAAAAACAGACATTATACACTAGAACATATGGATGAAACGAGAAGGGCACGACACGGTCGCGGCAGAAAACAGTAAGACTATAAAAAAACTCAAGAAAGATATCAGTCACAGCACAGAGTCAGTACAGCCAAAAAAACTTCGATGAAAAAAGAGACGAGAGAACACATACGCGAAAAAGAAGGTGTGGATAAAAAATAAGACAACGAGCACCTTACTTTCTCGCGAGAGTTTTACATGAATCGCGCACATCCCTTTCCTCCACTTCCACCAACACCAACACCTGCGACAGCAGGTTCCTCTCCCGCCAAATCAACCCGAGGAAATCACCGAACACCGCCCGCCACTCCTGTCGTTCCCTCCAAACAACCGCGTATTTTTCCCCACCCGACGGCCGTGTGTAGCGACGGCGGTAGCGCGTGGCGTGCGCGGGGAAAAAATCCAGCAGCATCCATCCGTCTAAGAGGATGCAGCAGCCACAGCAGGGGAGAGATGGCACCGAAAAAAAAAATCCCAAAGCGGGCCGCCGCAGGTCATGACATCGCCGTCGCTGATGACGCCATGAGACACGTGATTGAAAAACCGGCGATCACACACCACACACCTTATCTCCACGCACGAATACAAGGCCGTTGGTGCGGTGCCGTCTTCGACTCGACTTTTTCGCTTGAGTGACTGACGTCGCGACAGAACCGGCGACCGAAAGAGATCCTCCCCCCCGCTCCCCCCTTCGAGGGAGGGAATCAAACATCGCTTTCCAACAACCACCTGCAAGAGCGGAACCTCACTACGGAAACACGCTCGGGATGACTTGAGAGCACAACTCCCGATCAAACCACCACACATCAAAACACTTGTGAAACACAGAAAACACACACACACACAAAAAAAAAAAAATCATCATTTCCATGTCAATTTTGTCGGCCGTATCCCCCGCGTTTTCACCCACGTTAATGTCATCGGTCACCCCAAAACATGAAACACCAACTCTTGAATCTCGGTTAGAAAGTAACCCTCCGTGATTGGTCGTATCCTTGCCTCCTTCTTCACTCAGCCGAGCCCACTTCGGTCAGTCGTAGTGCCGGCTTCCACTCCACCCCCCCCCCCC